TCTAATCATAAATGTGGCCCTATTTATAGTAACAATGATAACAATAACTTGGCATACAGCCATAAAGCAAGTCTTAAACAAAAAGCAAAATTTGATGGCACACTAAATTGACTCTTAAATACACCAAACCACCCCCCACATTGCCACTTTTAAGGTCGAATGTCTTTCTTGACATCAGGGAACGAATTCTTGCTATAGGAGGGTCCCTAAGAAATCCGAGGTTGTGCTGTTATAATAGATGGCTTGCCTAACAATATAGAGGTGATACGTTCAAAAAATTATGGGAGCCCACACATGGGAAAGCGGGAGCGCGCTCCTCCACATGGATAAATGCCAACGCCGTTTTCGGTTGTGTGAAATCGCGTCCTTTTTTGATTCACACGTAATATTACGTACTTGATCATTCTTTTTCTTCGATTTGACTCATCCGTCAGGGGTTGTTTCGCTGTTTCGAAACTGGAAATCTAACGTCTTGCGCACACATGGGAGTTCAAGCGGACTTCCTTATTCTGTATGGATCACACACTGGACAGGCGGAATGCATATCGAAACAGATCAAGGAAAAAGCCGAAATAGTGGGGCTTAAACCTTGCCTCTTCACTCTAGATGACAATGAGAAAGAGGTTGGTTTTCTGGATCTTCGCATTGTTCTGACTTGTGGGAAAGCTTGTCGGACCCGTAGGACTCATAGTTGAAAAAAGAGAATCAAATGAAAGAGAGTCCCTAAATTTTGAAGATGCCTTATCTTTATATGTTATGTGCTAATGTAGCAAGTGGTCTACAGCAGTATTTTTTCTTTTGACTTCCAAGTTTTTAGTTCCACATTGAAGAAGAAAATCTTGTAGTCATTGTGGTGTCCTCTACGGGTGATGGAGACCCACCGGAGAACGCTTCACGCTTTTGGAGACGGATATCAAGAAAAACTTTGGAGTCAAATTTTTTGGAAAAGCTCGATTACGCTCTGCTAGGTAAGCTTGATTTCAATGTTTCCTCCCGTATCTCCCATTTCAGTGGGAGCAATAGAATGCTGTTAGAATTGGGTTCGGTCTGCTTTGTATCGAATATCTATATGTTCGATAAAGATCTTTCAAAGCGACTTGGAGTTGAAAGTTCAACTTCCAAAAGAGTAGCTTTCATGGAAAACTCGCTAGGAATGGATGGAGTTCTTCGCTAGGTTTCCAATGTCTAATGTCTACTTTTTTAGTTTTCCTATTTTTCTTTATTTCATCTTCTCATCTTCGGCTTATCTTACTACTTTCAGGCCTTGGTGACTCGAATTATTCAACTTTCCAAGGTGTCCCCAACAAGATCGACAAACGTCTCAAGTTTCTTGGCGCTTCGCCGATAGTCGAAACAGGACATGCTGATGATCAAGTAGGGTTAGTTAACGTTTCCCCAGAAAATGTTCTGGTTTTCAGCATTTGTCTAGTGTATGTAGAAATCCCTTTTGAACACCTTTGTAAGGAGGTTTTCTTCTGTATTCCGTTCGTCCACTGACTTTACTCTTTTCAGAGTACTTTCAGGTTGGAGCTGGTGGTGGAACCGTGGATTGAGAACCTTTTTCAAGTGCTTGTTAAGCGCTTCAACCTCAATCCCGATGTTCTACAACAATTAAACTCTAAGGTGGAAATCTCGCAAAAGAGAGAAGTTCCCGAAAAAGTCGGCGCTGAAGGAGTCGCTTTGAAGCAGCCCAAGCTGATTTTATCGCCTCAACCTTTCAAATATCCGGAAGTTTCTTTGATCAAAGGTTGGTTTCTAGCAGTATGTGAGCCTACCATTATCTCCAGCAAACTCTACGATCGTAACGAATCGCTTGTTTTGTACAGGAAATGATAAGTTGTCAAATGATCCCGCACTTCGTGTTCCCGTTGCACCGCAGGAATTCCTGGCTTCAACCGTGTCGCACGAGAAACTCGAGCAAAATCATGGTATTCCGTGGCAAAATGGAGCCAAAATGGTCGGAGTGGGTAGGTGTTGGTTAAGTGCTTTACAAAAACAACGCTCTGCCTTTGTATGCCAGCTTCTCAGCTATTTTTTCTCAGTCTTCGCCATTTTGTCCCAATTTTCAAAGCTATGATGTTCCAAGGTTCAAAACGATCTGGCATCTTATTCTAGCTAGTGCGCCTTATGAGGTCACTGTTGTTGGTGCTGCTCGTCTGACGGATTTGGATGTGACGAAACCAAAATATGAGCTAGTGCTCGACTTGGGAGGTTCGCTTACTTTAAATCATACACTTTTCGGATCCAAGTTTCTTCATTAGACTGGTAAATTTTAGTTCATCACTCCAATCTCCCCTATGAACCGGGCGATGCTTTCTATTTTGTGATTCCAAACTCATCAATGGAAGTGAACTTTATCCTGGACAGGTGAGTGGCATTCGGTCGGTTGAATTGAGGCTGTTATTTGGTAATTACCTATATTCAGAATGAACTTGCTCTCTGTCGCTGACCAGAAGTGCATCGTGTCTATAAATCCGAACACTCAGAAGATAAACCCTGTCTTACCTGCCCATGTTCCTCCTGAGAGTTCGATACGGCATCTTTTCACTTATTGCCTTGATATAAGAAGAACGCCAGGACGGGTAATTTTTTCTCCCATCACCTTATTTATTTCTCGTTATCTGCTTGAATCTTTTCTAGCCTGTGCTGCGGGCGCTTGCCGAAAGTGCAACTGATGAAGGAGAAAAACGTCGTTTGCTAGAGCTCACCAGTGCTCAAGGTCTCTCAGAGTTCAATTCATTTGTTAGGCAGGTAAGAATGGCTTGGCTTGTTTTGGTTGAAGCCATTTTTATGGTGTGGCTCGATTTCATTGGTGTGTTGCAGCCAGGATTGTCCCTTGCTGATATATTATTTGCATTCCCAAGTGTAACTCCTTCTGCGGACAGATTGATAGGTAGTAAACTCATTTTTGAAATTCTCTGCTTTCCGAGTAGTTCTCTGGCAACTCTGCTGTCGTTAAGAACTTCTTCCGCGTCTCATCCCGAGGTCATACAGCGTGTCATCGTGTCGTGGACGTCGTGTTCGGTTCATTTATTCTGTAATGACTTTCACAGCAGAGGACGGACGAAGGTTAGTTGTAGAACCGTGTTACCGTGCGAGAGCTCACATAGTGTTACAACTTGCAATTAATGTAGGGATATCCAGCTGAGACGAGTAGATTCTCAGACCGTTCATAATTCTTTTCAGTCAGTACAGTCGAATATTTCTGAAAATTTTTCTAGGTACGCACGAAAAGGTGTGGCAACCGAGTACCTGTTGGGGCTGAAAGTGGATGATAGAGTGCAGGTTAATACTCGTTCATTGATATGTAGTTACCCACAATTCTTTAGATTGTTATCTCTGAAACGACTATCCGTTGCAGTTTCCTTATGTTTTGGAAGTAGATACCGATGGTCCAGCTTTCTTTCTACTTCTAGAATTGAACATTGTTCTCCAACGACAACAAGAATCACTTCAGATAATGCATAAGGAACCAGCTCGCTTCCGTCTTCCACCGCCTCCACTGCCATCTGCTTGTGCTGGGGATATGCCACTCATAATGGTTGGACCGGGCACTGGAGTCGCGGTGTTCCTAGCTTTCTGCCAACACCTTTTGTTAGTTTTTTTCGTTGTTCTAGTGACTGTTTTCAATCGTGTTGCACTCATTGCTCTTCTTACAGGAACATGAAACTAAGCGATCCTGAAAATTTCCCTGCTGTGCCACGATACCTATACTTCGGGTGTAGGAATATGGAAAAGGATGCCCTATATTTGTAAGTTTTCATTGAAGTTCTTTCCTTCATAGCGCTCACTTTGTTGAGCGCTAATATGGTAGCTTTACAGAGATGAACTGAAGTCATATGTTCGTGAGGGAATTTTGACAGAGTTGATTCTGTGCGAAAGTCAAGGGAATGGTACTTATCCTAAATACGTGCAAGATGCGTTGAAAGAAAGGTCATCGCAGGTATGATGCTCGCCTAACGATTCGCCCTCCGTGCCTCTCGTCATTTTTTTATTGGATCCCTCCATCTCAAAATTTAAGGTCTGTGAATTTTTGTCCAATTCTGGAAGCGATGTACCATCTCGGGTATACATTTGTGGTGATGCTAAGGGCATGTCAAAGAGCGTATGGCAGTGTTTTCATGATATCATCAAAGAACAAATGGGTAATTTTTGCTTTTTTTTTTTTGAAAGAGCTACATTTCGATCATAGGTGTGGCCATTCAGGTTTCAAATTAAGAAGACTCAAGGAAGTTACATTAGTCTGCGTTTCTGTGGCGACCTATGATCACATATTGCTCTTTAGTCTCTGATTAGACATTCCTCTGATAAGCACGCGCACTATACATAGCTTTTCATGATAACGGTGATAAAAAATGATCATCAAAGGTGAACAAGTGTGTCGGTACACCTACAATATTAGTTGATCCTTGTTCTGCCATGCGAATCTTCCACCTGCTTCAGGCAAATCAGATGCTGATGCAAAGGCTTATATGACGGAGCTACATAAAGCAGATCGTTACGTCGAAGATGTTTGGTCGTAATTACTTCCGGGGATCATTGTTATTGTTATAGAGAAATCTCTTGTTACTTTGTTATCTGAATGTGATATCCAGGGCCTTGTGATTTGTTATATTTAAGTTGTGCCATTTTAATGTTGTCATGGTGTATCTTCTGTGCTTCGCCTTTATTATTTCATTTGTTATTAATTGTATGATGCAGTCCGCATAGAGATTGCTTGATTTCTCCACCCATATGAGTAGTACAGTACAAATACATCAGTACTCATTAGTACAATCAGTCAAGTGCTTTGATTTCCCGGTGTATCGGCATAAGATTCCTCTTCAATATTCCCGTACAGAAAATTGGTATGTAGAGGCGAGGACATACATTAGATACCTAATTTTATGTGAAGGCTAGCGACTGTGTGGTTTCGCCATTGTTAAATCGAAAAGTGAAAATTTTCTACATGCTGTATGTGAATTATTTCCTCTTCGTCTGAATTGTCAAGAATGTAATAAATAAATAGAGAAAATTAGTTTTGTTTTGTTTAGATTGACTTCTAAGAAGGATCCGTACAAGCATCACCACTCAAGTTACATGCGTCAGCGCTGCGTAAGAACTGGTGTATGTCATCGGCAATGTCACATGGGCATGCTCATTGTTGTTCAACACTTGATGGGTTAAACACACGAATTACTCCTCCGAACACGTTTTCATTCACTGATCTTGTTCTATCAAAAGGTAGGGTTGACAAAGAACGAATTATTTATTGGATTCAATGCAGAACAGGGGACTGATTGACAAACACTGCCGAAAGGAACTCAAAAAACGTTAAATCAGTAATTAAAAAGTAGATTTAGTTCTACGTAGAATCAATAAGTTCACAGTGTTATCGGTATGAGCAGCTCAGTCCTTTTTGTTTTCATCCAGCAGCATGAAAAGTTTTTGGCATCCAACTGTGAAGTTTTCTGAAGATGATTTGGGTGAAAGAAAAACAGTGTGCTTGAGGACTGCTAATACCATGGTAAAGACGTTCTATGGCGCAGTCCATCGGTCAACCAATAGCGAGTGTCCTAGACCTTCTCCACATAACAGAGGTAAATGCTCTGGGCACGCCTCGCAATTCAGGCCTCCGCCCCTTCTTGGAGGAGGTTTTTTTATTCGAATAATTATGAATTATTGGCCGCATATATGGGAACCGTTTGAAAAAGCTTACCAACGAATTCCTTGAGAAATCGTGGATGTTCACGTGCTATGAAGATCACGTATATAGGCACAGCCGTTAAGACAATAATCAGGCCAAGAGCTGAAAAAGCATCTACTGAGTACTTGACAGAGAGTAAACTTTCGAATGACTCTCTCTTTCGCTGTTATTCACTTATTTATTTGAGTAGCCCTCTATGATCATCCGTTCGCCTCCCAGTACGCGGTTGATTAGGGCTAAAGACATCATTATTCTTCTATTCTTACTGTATAGGCAACCATTTTGGCGTGTCTATTTGTTTGTTTGTTTGTCTGTTGGTTTGTATTTCTGTTTGTTTGTCGCGGAATTCGGTAATACGCGAAAAAGATTTTCAGAGGTTGCGTCAGGTTCGTGATGGTTCGGGCCTGAAGCAAAATCAAGATTCACTTATGAGCCAGGTGTAACTCCGCCTAGCATGGGCGGGAGTGCGCCGGAATGGACTTATTCCATTTAAGTCCCTCTTTTTGCAGTCAAATATTATGTACTAGAAATTCTCTACTTCCATGTTGGTTCCATATCGTAATTTCTCACTGGCTACTAAATACGGTATGTGCTTAACTACATTTTTGTACAGACCTGTGTCGTAGGGTGCACCAATCGCTGACAACACTACAAGTGAGGATCCTCCAATCATAAAAACAACAGGTATGCATAAATTTACCTAAAATATGAGTTTTTGAAACACAAGCTACGAAGCCTTTTTTTTTGAAGTTACAGATTTTTGGTTATATTATATGACTTGTAAATATTCCAGATAGTTGTTTTTCGATTTCTCTTACTCAATATTTTCCTAACCATATTTGGAGGTGATTGCTATCTAGAAACAACGTCAAAAGAGTACGTAGCTCCTTTTCATTCTCGGTTTTCTTTTGTCAATGACCCCTGAGCCGTATGGTACCAAGAGGATGGGTAAATATCAAGGGTACAGCTCTACATCTCACATTCCCTGAAGGGTTAACTACTGGAATACTTTAGGCATTCGTCAAATACTGCTGAATTCAAGGATACTCAATTTTTATATAATGAACAAGATCAGCTCACTTTGACAGGCCTGCGTGCATTCGGATAACTGTATCGAAGCACGAGCAATGCTACAGCAGCTAGAGTGTAGGAGATCCACACAGTAGACTGACTCGCGTTAATGAGCACGTAGACATTTGAAGATAGAAACATATATCCAATTGCAATTATACTCTGAAAACTATTTGATATGGTTATCTGCATAACCTTCACAATGCTTTACAAAGGCATCTGCAGAGCAGCTGGCCGCTTTTCTCCAAGTGTTAGTGTGGGTGTATGTAAGGGTGAGAGTGGGTGTGTGTGATTTCCGTGATTGGTCAGTTGTCCCAAGCAGCCAATCAGAGTCAAGGACCACCGAGTCAAACTCCTCTGACTATTTTCGGCAGATTTTTAACGTAATTGAATTGAACTCACCATAAAAACCACTGATGGTATAGGAGTTTGGAGCCTTTTGTTGGTCATCGCCAGGATCACTGGAAAGTGTCCTTCACGAGCCCCACAGAAATATAATCTGAAAAGTGGATGATCAATCAGAACTTCTGTAAGCTTCACTAGTAGCATAAAGCACCGCACCTGGATCCGACCATTATAGAACCGTTTGATGCTCCGAAAGTCGAAACAGCAACAAATAATGGCATTATAAAGGCCCATCGACCATAGATTTTATTTGCAAACTCCTGAAAAAAAAGATCTCCCGAAATCCGCTGAAGCAGCTCTGAGTTGGTACAACTTGGAACAGGTTCAGAGCTCCACACACTGGGAATTTGCAAGGTGTGGGCTGGCATTCTCTGGCGAGCTCAAGAAAAGGATAAATCTGACTTTGGCATAAGGATCTTTTACTTCTACTCGTTCCTCCCTCGTTCTTTTTTGGTGATAGATGCTTTATGAATTCTCATAATAGCATCAACAAGACGACGCCTGCCAATAGTACGCCAAGTATGAACGCAATCTGAGGAATGACAATATCTGGTCAAAAAACATACCACAGAAGCAGCTGCATGTAAGATCATTTCATCAGGAGAAAGGACAACATACAGAGCTACATTATAGAGGACATAGACCAATGTGATAATTATCATTGAAATTAAAATAGCGAGAGGTAGATTTCTAAACAAATCAAGACATACTGGTGAAGTAGGAGAATGTTTCGATACACTCCCGAACGTGCATTTGCTTGCATCGATCGCTAACTGTACCAGTAAACCCTTTGAAAAATGGTAAGTAGTGAATGCTTAATGATTCAGTCATTTTGTTAAAAATCAACCGTTTTGGATTGATGAGCTCTTCTGTTACAGTATTCAAATATGCCCATCCTTGATAGGCAAATAATCCAGAATAGAAAGCAACTGCGGCAGATCGAAATGTCCGGAAATTCCCTTCGAAGATGTTATCGAATGAGTCCCAGTACTGTGGACCTCCTGAAATGATTTCTCTGTTTGGAGGCAGGACTCATGGATCGTCTGCTCAGGTTCCATATTCAGTCGGTCCAGGACTACAGGGTACTGTAGTACACTGCCCCACCATTTCCTTCCTTTAGAGTAGAGCTTTGAGCTACCCGACGCTATCCTGCTCTGAGATCTTTTTTCTACGAATCAGCATGGGGATCTGTGATTATTACAATTAGAAGGCTCAAAAAATGCCCGTGCACCTCCTGCATTTTTTTCTAAAGTCAGAAGCAAGTTCTACGGTGGAATCAATTGTATGCTCCCATCCGCAGGTACAATCTTCGACCGCCCACACCCATGGCTTACCGCGCAAGGTCTGCGATACCCGATAGAAACGCACACCTCTGTAGATTTCCCCGAAGAACAGCTCAACCTTCATCTCCTCAGTTCACTATCTTGCAAGGGCTACTTTCTCGAGTAAGTGCACAGAGGGCGAATTAGTTGGTACTAGTTGATTATTCACCCAACTTACCGAAAAACAGAAGATATCCACCGGTAACGATGACCATCACTAGAGCGAGTACTTTGGCAAGCGTGAACCAATCTTGTAGCCGTGTTACTGCTTTCATCGAATAACAATTTACACCACAAAGAAACACTGAAGAAACAGGAACCGTCCTTCCAGGCAAATCGACCGTTACCTCCTGGTGATAAGTTCGTGAACCCGAGACTTTGAAAGGACTGTAAGAGTGATCATACTTGCCCTAGGAAGTAGAATGAAGCATCGTACTTATCTTGGCGACAGCTAGAAGCTCAACAGCTCCTGTTGGTGGATCGCAGTTTGGATAGAACGGTCGGATCACATAGAGTGCAAATGTGAGAGCTTTGATTGTTAAAGCAACGGGTCTGAATTAAGCAGTTTTCGAGATTGACTCGTTATAACCACTACTTCTCCTGTGAGATCGCCCTGACGCCATAGCTCGATTACCTGTTGGTTGTGGGTGCTCACCTTACGACCATGCTTTCGATCCATAAACGGAGAAATCCGATGAATGGTCCAAAGGCTTCGGTCATATACACATAGTCTCCACCTGATTTTGTAATGAGGGATCCTAATTCAGCATAGATATAAGCACCTAGGGCACACCAGATTCCACACAGTATCCAGATGATTATCGATGATCCCACGGATCCAGCAGCTGCAAATTTTTGTTCTGAAGAGCTGAGTAGTACCGTAGCGGTTCGCTACAGATAGTTGCTTTGTTTATACCAGCTGTTATCGGTCAACACAAACTTTTTACGCTTTGTAGGAAGGTATCTGTAGCCGAGGAAAGCGGTCGACTGCCAGTAGGCCCATTCTAACAGCCTATGCTGCTTCTGCGGCCTCCCGTCAAAGGCTATAGTAGGCTACTGTTAGAGTGAAGCCTTTTAAATCTGGCAGTCCTTTCAATGAGAGGAACGAAGCCGGCATCGTGAAGGAGCCTCAGATCTAACGAAAAAAGTAATTGATCAAGTAGACGGTCTCTGACAGACCATGGTAATGTCATAGCAGAAATTGAACGTGAGTGATACCTAATGACTACAACGAGAAGGTTATGTGTTATGATTGAGGGTAGTCAGGTATAGGGAGTGAAAATTATACAGCTTACATTTCTGAACACCAGTGGGGCTCACAAAAATACCGGCTCCGATGACAACTCCAACAATCATTGATACTGCATTGGTCAGAGTAAGCGTTCTAGCCAGACCGCTCGTTTGTGCCTGGAAGAGATTACTGGTTCGGTTATTAATAACCTGGCAATATTCGAAACATGGCGAACCGTCTCATCTGGGGCCAGATCCTTGAGCTTCGACAAATCTCCCTTTTCCATTGTTATGTTATCGGTGTCGCCTGTTGTTTCCTTGACGTCATCCACTTTGTCGTACTTCGAAGAGGTACTTCGATACCCGCTCTGGGTGGAAGATAAATCTCTGCTGAACAACTTTGAGTCTGACGTTGAGCTAGCCATCTGAAACGGTCCACCCTTTTTGGATGATTAGATGGAATGACGCTCTGGATGAGCCTCACCTCGGGTGAAGTGTATACGCAACCAACTGGCCGCAATTCTAGGAGTATTTACTTATATACGATCCCTACGCCTTCACTGATCTAGAGATATCATCATGAGTTGATAAAGCAAAGGGTGGTTTGTTCAAGTGGACTGAATAGATANCGTTGAGCTAGCCATCTGAAACGGTCCACCCTTTTTGGATGATTAGATGGAATGACGCTCTGGATGAGCCTCACCTCGGGTGAAGTGCATACGCAACCAACTGGCCGCAATTCTAGGAGTAGTTGCTTATATACGATCCCTACGCCTTCACTGATCCAGAGATATCATCATGAGTTGATAAAGCAAACGGTGGTCTGTTCAAATGGACTTAATAGATAGATAAAAATGAACTGCGGACATGCTTAGCCAATTGCTGAATGCCGTGCATCTAGGGCTAAACAGAAACTTGTGTCAAACTTGATTGTAAAAAGTTTTCATTTGCGCTGAATAAGATGCCGTCAAAAGATCCTTCAGCCAGCGTGCAACGCATCCCGTCTCTTTTCGTTCTACACTCCAGGACTCCGCACTTTGGAATACTCGTAACTGATTACCTTACGGAGCTTGTAAATCACCACTTCACGGATTGATCAGCTCATCCAAAATACTTCAATGAACTTCGAAACAATGCGTAATCCCAAAATTGTTTCATTTTGAAAACTCTGCTGCAAATATTGAAGATCAGAAGCCTTCAAGGGGAGCTTGCAGGGCTCAGAGCCCTGTTCTCAGTTGCGGTAGTCTTGACGGTTCCCAGAACAGTTGGAGGCAACAAAAAACAAAGTGGCTCGTCTGGAAATAAGAGGCGAAACGAACCACCAAGTAAGTTTTCATACTGAATGTCGTTTTATTGTTTTTTCCCTTTTTATTTATGCACTCTCACCCTTTTCTGCTGCAGAAGACATTCGAGAAAACAGTACTGAGTGGAAGTCTCACATGGTTGTTGAGTTATGGACAAAACTTCGGCCTCGAACGGGACCCGGACTCCATACTTGTGCTTTCCGGGCACCGTTCTCTAACCCGTACACTACCGAAACCTCATGCAAACTACAAACTGCTCACGGGCATCACTGTCAAACTTAAAGTGCTTTCTGAAGTTATGCTTTCCTTTTCAAAAGTAGGTGGTGGGCAGAAATGAATAGTTTGTAATTTCAGATCATTCTGTTAGACCTTCAGATCAATTAGAATCAGATTTTTTATTCACCGGGTAACAACATGATAACAATATCACAATCTCAACAACAATAACAAGTAGTAGCAGAAGGCAATGAAGGCGGTCTAGTTAATAGAATATTTATTTTCACCAACAGACGTTAGTTTTTGGTCGATTTCGTCGCGGGTGTATATCTGAGATAGAAATTAGTCAAAGCAAACGTAATAGTAAAGTTTATGGTCAAGCACTAAACACAAGAAACACTTACCATTATCACAGGCAGCCCCTGTACAATCTGAAAACCAGGCAAAGACAATATAGAACCAAAAGTCGACCATTCCCATACTTCCATGGCATACTCATTCCACTCGTCCGACACAAACATTCGAATATTATCTAACCTTAAAAAAGAATGAATATGTCAGGCGTGTGTATGCTTTTACTGGTCATCCAGGTGCCAAATCGAAAGAGATAAGTGACCACCAAAATGCATGCGATCAAAAGTTCTTTTCAAATCAAACCAAAGATACCTGAACTTGTGGTCCTTATCCCAATCTGCAGGGGTTTCCAACATTGGCCGCAACACAGAACAAACTTGCGCTGTTTCATCACAATCCGTCAAAATATCAACTTGCCCGACCTGAAAAAGTGACTAAAATCATAGAAATCCAAAACTCTCATGGAAGCTATCACTGTCTAGGCAAGAGAATACACCACGAAACTGATTTTTCGAAGCGATCATTTTTACGAACCTGTGGGTATTGTATTAGGAAGGGCCACTGTAGATTACCCTCTTGATTGAATGACACGCGATACCGCTGAAATACGAGGGCATGATCAGCTCTTNGCGCTGTTTCATCACAATCCGTCAAAACATCAACTTGCCCGACCTGAAAAAGTGACTAAAATCATAGAAATCCAAAACTCTCAAGGAAGCTATCCCTGCCTAGGCAAGAGAATACAGCACAAAACTAATCTTCGAAGCGATCATTTTTACAAACCTGTGGGTATTGTATTAAGAAGGGCCACTGTAGATTACCCTCTTGATTGAATGACACGCGATACCGCTGAAATACGGGGACATGATCAGCTCCCTAAGGCAAGCAAAGAAGGGAAATGAATTACCTGCGAAGTTTGTGCAAGGCTAACTTCTAGTAACGACCAATCCATGAGTTCGGGACGGCTGAATGGAAGTCGGGGACGAAAATTGAGTTTGCGATCAGCCAGTGCTTTGAGAAGGCGCCGTTTCTCTTCCAAATCCTTCTTTTCCTGGAGAACATTGAAAGGAAAGCTAGCAAAAAAGTAGGTGAATGGAAATTCATGCGAAATTGAGTTTTGTGAGACAAACGCGGCAAATTCCACTTACTTCAGCGCGAGCTTTCCGTTTGTTACGTTCTTCGACCAAAACAGCTTGGGTAGCTTTTTCGTTCGCTTGTTCTAAGGCATCTAACTGCTTCTTTTCTGACTCGGAGACGTTCCCTAAGAAGACACCACAGTGACAAAAAACACAGCATGAGCAAGTAAAAGCCTCAAAAGAATCATTCTTTCAAATCCAGTTATGTTGTTACGCTCAAACCATCCGGAAACATTCCAAGACGAATCTCACAAGGACTACCTTGCTCCTCAGTTTCCTTAGTGAATGCGAAGGTTTTCTTAGCTCGCTCAATCCAATCTAGACATTGTTGGGCATATCCAAGCTCCAAGAGACATTCCGCACCTCTATTTGCAGCCTTAACTTTGTAGAGGGTTATAAGAGTAAACATCTCTAAAAGAAACAAGATGAACCTTCAAGTTTGTGGGATCAAATTTTAAGGCCATTGCGCAGTCCTTTATAGCGCTTCGCCGGTTGCCAATGTGCTTTTGAGCAGCTGCACGATTGCCATGAAGAACAGAATTTAACTTGCGATCCAGGCACTGCACTTTGATACCTGAACTGAAAAAGTACCGTTTGATTGCAGCATTGCCTCATGTGCAGCTTGAGCTAGTTTTTTTTAACTGAAAGGAAATTATCAATAAATCGTTCTTATTCCGTCATCGGGCCAAACCACTTCGGGAATTTCCAACCTTCGGAATAGCAATCGGTGGCCCATCGGTACTTTTTGTATTTGAAATGCTTATTGCCTTCTTCTTTATGTCGTTCGGCGCTTAACTGCTTATCCTCAACATCGTCCTCGTCATATTTCAAAGCCTGAAAATGAAAATGTTCCGTAGTATTCACAGATGTTGAATTTCTTTACAAGACTACAGTCTAACATTTTCGAAGAGCACCATCTGTTTCAGCATTGATTCTGCTTAACTCTTCAAGAAAAAAGTATTGGAAAGACTCCAACAACCGTAATTGGGACGTTTTCAAAATTTCTGTACCAAGCCAAGGCTTCCAGGATGGTTTTGATTAAGAAGTAAAGGAGGAAGATCAGTGGAAAGACCCAATTTCTCCACAATATGGACACACCTGAAGAGCACTCAGAGTATCTGCATATTGTCCTTTCATTCCAGTATCAAGATCTTTCATGAATGCCGGGTGCTGATCGATGTCTTTACACCATTCATCAAAATCGAATGGCTTCTTTTCTATCTGTTCCGCAGCCTGCGCAAAACTATGTATAACTGAAAACTGAGGGAAATAGAGTACTGGGAAAGAAAATATATTTTTAGCGAGACTCCTACTTTTTTAGCAGCCATTTCCTCCATAAACTGTTCCAGGTCATCATCCAATTTTTTCGCCAATGCGGCCCTTTCTTCCTCTGTCATTCGAGGCTTCGTCTTCGCCTTCGCTCGGTCCATCGCCTATGCTTTTGGAACTTCCAATATGCAACCAAGATAAAGGAAAAAAGGTAAATAAACAAAAAGATCGAAGCAGCAACTGAATAAACAACTGTGCTAAGGAGATGATTCCACTTCGCCACTGAGCAGGGGGTTTTCATTGGAGCGCGCAATGGTTGAGCGCCGATGTACATTAATTTAAATCAATTAATAAAATTATTCATGATCCTATATCAAATGATCAAACTGTAACGATTCATCTCAGAATCCTTTAGTCACAACTAGACAAATGAATCGATGAAGGGCGGTGCGCTATACAATACCTGACGACGACTCATCCGATAAAATAAAATGTTTATGAACCTTACAGGCCTCGATCAATTATATAGAATCTATAGGATGTGAAACACTTATTCGAGCTATAAGAAATCCTATGAAGTGGCTGTACCGTCCCTACAATCATTCAAATGCTTGTACGATCCTATTGAGATTTCATAGCACGGCGCAACCCGCGATAAGCGCTTTTTTTCTCATACTTAATTTGAAAATTGCATGTACGCGTTAAACCTACGGCTTTATGAATCTGTGCTCGGCACTAACTGATTCCTCTCTCAGGATACCTTCCCCTAGTGCCTATTCCCATACACACCGTAGGGTACTGAATACGCCATTTTCCTACAGTTCGAGAAGCCTATGTACAATTTTCGTGTGGCTGCCATATCTTGCTAGTGTTAATGAAGTTTTACGGTTTACGGTAATGTGGGCGTGCCCGCTTCTATGGGCTGTAAACTGTGGCATTAATTTTCACGCGCCAGTAAGCAACTGGTGCGCTATTTACCAGCCCCCATGTTCCCGTTCCTAACCACGTGTTTTCATTCCCTTCTCGCATTTTCCATCTCAATTAACCTATCGTTCAGATTCAATCTAATTTTCATTACTGTCTGTCAAAAGTACAACGAAGAAGTGCAACCCATCAACCCATCAATTGGGAGATCCTAAGGACATGTTCACTTCTGTTTTTTCACTTTTTTCTTCACGCCAACCTTAAGCTCCCTTCTTTCCCTGTTTTCAACTCGGCAGCTTAAAAAAAAACGTGAAAATTCTTGATAGCTGGTACTTAGGTGTAGGAGTACACGATGCTAGAAACTCCCAAAACAAGCGACACCGTTCCAGATGTTTTCGGAACTAGTCCTCGTCAATTATTTACTGCCGAAAAGACCTATCGAACTTCCGCTGTTCAAAACAGGTTGACTTTTGTTTGCCACGAAAACAGGTTGCTTTTAAGGGCATGCTACGGAGCGCTGTCACCTGTCAGCATACACATACCTTCCCTTCTGGCAGTTGTAATATATGATAGCTGGCATCAAAGGTTAAATGATTGAACACTACGAAAACATCTAGCTTCGTTGTAAAATACTTTTGTAATATGCAATCGATAGAATCGTTTGTTGTCAATGATAAATGAGGCAGTGTTTTTGCAGCTTCACAGTCATGCTTTCATTTATTTCACCAACTGATCATTACTCTTTCAAAAAGTTGTGTGGAAGCGTCAAGAAATTTAAAGTTGTTGTAACTCTTCATGCAGAATATGATAAGGGCAACACTCTCAGTAAAAGGATAAGATGGTCAAAATAAGTGAGCAGAGAATGGGTGAGAAAATAACGCGCGCCAGTGCGTATCGCATGCACCATCTACGATTATTCGAATAGCTATCGATTGGCGCCAAGTTTACAGCGACCGCGTACCTGGCACGCTGCCAAGAGCCTCATAATCGTGGGTGGTCGCGGTGTTTATTTCATTTTTTTTGCGTGTTGAGTGTTGTGTGTTCCGCATAGTTTCACGAACGATTCGAAGATTCCTTTCTCTCATTGAATTAAATCGAATGTTATCAATGTTTTCATCGTCGCATGCGATTCTGGCGGTTGTCCAGGGTTCTAGCAACATTCTCACTTTAAAACAGCATTAATCGCATCAAAATTACCATACTCTGCTACGGAAAGGAGGAGACTGGGAGTCGACTAATGGTTGTTTCTGAACAATGAAAGATTCCTGTAACCTTAGGTGACAATGTTTACGCTACGGCTATATTGACACTTGAGGATATCAGTCACCCGCTCCTTTTTGTTGTTGAACTTCATTAAGATATCTTCTCACTTTGGACGTTCGAAGAGGGATTAAGCTAATTCTATATTTACCAGTCGGGCCGCCCGGCTAACGCCGGGCTTCCCTCCTTCTTGTAGAGTCGTCCGGCTTCGCCGGGCGCTCTTCTTTTCTGTAAGAATTTCGCTATGCGTAAATGACTCTTCGGATTCTCCTTTTTCTTTGGAAGCTCTACATCCTCAGTATTAGCTCTGAATGGGGAGCAATTTTTTTCTGTATTATAATTAAAGTCGGTTCGCCCGGCTATGGCCGGGCTTTTCCCCTCCTTTGACGAAGTTGTAGTAATCGGCTAACTCCCCACCCCTTCTTCGAAGTACACGAAGTTTGACACAGGATAACAGGGTATTGGTATTCAGAGAAAGTCGGTACTTATGTCTTTAATTGGGAGTCTCGATCTTTTGCTCTCGTTCTTGAAGATAAATACCCAATGAAGATTGAAGTATCAGGTAGCCAAAGCCTTGGGCGGTACTTACAAATATTTCGTGTAGTGATAACACCATTATCAGATGATATCAATGAACCTTTTACTTCACAGAGATAACATTAGTTAAGAGTTCCAAATAACTTGCGGTCGGTTAGTTTTGTCGCAAATGATATCAAACAAT